GAGAAGCTCAAAGTCAGTACTCAAAACTAGGCCAGGGGCAGACTGTGGGTCTGATCATCGGTTACTCATATGCAAGTTAAAACTGAGGCTGAAGAAAAGAAAAGTAAATCTATAGAAACCAAGGTGTGATCTTGAATCAATTCTATCAGAATTTCATGATCATCTTAAGAATAGGTTTCAGGCACTGAACATCAATGATAGAAGATCAGAAGAGCTGTGGGATGATATTAAAAATGTCATCTATGAAGAAAGCAAAATGTCATCACAAAAACATAAAAGAAAGAAAATACCAAAAAGGGATGTCAGAAGAGACTCTAAATATTGCACTGGAATGTAGAGAAGACAAATCTAAAAGAAAACATGTCAAAGTGAAAGAGCTGAACAGACAGTTTTAAAGGGCAGCTCAGGAGGACAAAGAAAAGTATTGTAATGGAATGTGCAGAGTGCTGGAATTGGAGACTAAAAAGGGAAGAACTCGCTCTGAATTTCTCAAGCTGAAAGAACTAAAAACCAAATTTAAGCCTCATGTTGCAATGCTGAAAAAAAATGCTATGAGCAATATATTGAATGGCCCAGAGTGTACCAAAAGAAGATGGAGAGAATACAGAATCATTGAACCATAAAGAATTAATTGTCACTGAAAAATTTCAGGAAGTATCATATCAACATATCCTTCATTGTAATGAAGGAGGAAGTGGAAGTTGCATTGAAGGCACTGGCAAAAAATAAGGCCTCAGGAATCAATGAGACATTAATTTAGTTGTTTCAATTAATAGATACAGCCTTGGATGCACTCACCAATCTATGCCAAGAAATTTGGAGGACAGCTTTCTGGACAATGGATTGGAAAAGGTCCATATTTGTTCGTATTCCCAAGAAGGGTGATCCGTCTGGATGTAAATAGACCATAGTAACCATAAACAACAGAAAAATAATCAGAAAAATCACAATGGTAAAACCTGGTCTGACAATAGTCACACTTAATATGAATGGACTAAATACACCAATCAAGTGAAAAAGACTAGGAGAATGATAATGACTAGGAGAAAATAAAAGCCCACCAATAAGTTGCCTACAAGAGACACATCTGGGAAAAAAATAGACAGACTTAAAATCAAAGACTGTAAAAAAAAAATACCAAGAAATGACAACTGTAAAAAAGCAGGAGTGACCATACTAATACCTAATAAAACAGACTTCAGAATGAAAACCATTATAAAAGACAAGGAAGGGCATTACATAGGCACAATAGATCTAGAAGACATAACCTAAATCAACATTTATGCACCACATGATAGATCTAAAAAATACATTAAATAACAGCTAACAGAATTGAAGAAAAAAATAAACAGCACTACAATAGTGGTAGGAGACTTGAACACACTGCTGTCACCAAAGGATAGTTCAAATCAACAGAAACTTAACAAAGATGCAGAGGATCGAAAGTATATAATTAGCCAACTCAACCTTATACATGTATTCAGGGTACTGAAACCAAATAAAAATAAATTTACTTTCTTCTCAAGTGCATGCGATATATAGACCAGAATCAATCACATATTAGAATGCAAAGCAAGCCACAGGAAAAGGGGGGGCGACCTCAACACACAGTGAAATAATACAAAGTATCTTTACAAACCACAATGTCCTACAATTAGAATTTAAGGACAGGAGGGTAAAGCTTACCAAAACCACCAATGTGAAAGCTATATAACTCCCAATAGAATATGATTGGGTTATAAAAAAAAATGAAATAATAAATTCTTTGAAACAGTTGAAAATGAAAATGCAACATACCAATATCTCAAGGATGAAGCTAAGGCAGTCTTCAGGGAGCAATTCATAGATATAGGGACACACATTCAGAAAAAAAAAAGAAGAGAAGAAAGAAGAAAAATCAGTGATCTAATTCAACACCAACATAAAATAGAATAATAACAACAACTTAATCCTATAGCCTTTACAAGAAAAGAAAATATAAGGACAAGAGCTGAAATCAATGAAACAGAAAACAGAAAAACAATTGAAACCATCAATAAAACCAGATGCTGGATTTTTGGAAGGGTAAAAACAATTGACAAACTACTGGCAAATAAAGAGAGAGAGAAAGAGAGGGTGAACAAACACATATAACTTGATTAAGAAGTGATAAAGGTGACATCATAACAGAATTTGATATAGAAATAATATCAAAATATTATAATATAGTATTTAAGCTATGCTCTGATAAATCTGGAAATCGAGAGGAAATGGACAAATTCCTTCATATGCATGTCCTACCTATATTGACAGGATGTTGTTGTTGTTGTTATGTGCCGTCGAGTCGCTTGCGACTCATAGCAACCCTATGTACAACAGCCCTAAACTCCACTCTGTCCTGTACCAATCGCACTGTCTCTGACACTCCCATTCCAATTATCCCAGTCACCGAATCAATCCACCTCATAGAGGGCCTTCCTCTCCTGCGCTGTCCCTCCACCCTCCCAAGCATGATGTCCCTCTCCAAGGACCGGTCTCT